CTTGGTCTTTTTTTGTTCTTGCCATACTGTCTTGCATAGATACAAAGACAGTTGGATTCCGGTACTTGCGCAAAGTTTGAACTACCGCAGGGCAGTCAGCACCCCTAGTCCTAGACTCAGCCATCCCCGGTGACCGGCTGATTGCTAACCTAGGTCCGGATGCTTTTGGGGTCTCATTTTAAAAAAAAAAAATGCAAAACGAAAACAGAAAAAGGATAAAGGAACATTCGGTTACCTGAAACTTAAGTTCTGGATGAAAGCTTGATCGAACAGGCGTCCCACTAAAAACAGGCGGTTGGTAAAAGCAGCCGTCCAGAAAGTCAGAGCTCAAGTTCAGGGGTCCGAGAGTTCCCTTGAAAAAGTTCGCAAATGTGAACAAAAGACTTGGTCAACATGCCTTTATATAGGGCAAAGGAGAATGCGAAGAGTCGCCTCTAAATTCAAAAAACAAGCGGGAAAAATGCTCGGCCCGTCATAGGGCGACACTTGTAGCGAGTCGTCACCTGTTACAGGCCGACACCTGTCACAGGTGACATGTGAACAGTCACGTGCCACCTATGAGGGGCAAATGATTAGGAGATTTTTCCCTACCAATCATCATCTGATAAGTGGACCATTCAGGCTTTGCCAAGTGTCCGGCACATGGGCCAATAGAAGCCTGCCACGTGTTAGGCGTTGATCTGTCCACCATGGAACAGTTGTGTCACGCCACGTGGCCTCTATATGCCAAACACGCCAAACAGCCACCTAGGCCCAATTTCCAAGGGAAGCCGAGTCAGCCCTAGGTTATCTTAAACCTAGTATTTGGCACGTTTCCCAAGGTTATAAATACACTAATTATCCTCATTAAAGGAAATTCAGCAATGAATTACTTTCACCTAGAGAACCTAAACACACTGATCATTCCTCCCCTAGAGGAACCAAATCTCCCAACCTTTACTTTTTCCGCACTTATTACTCCTCAAACAAGTACTAACTTGACCGTCGGAGGCGGAGCCCCCACCACCCGGAGTCTCCGTTGTTTTGCAGGTACAGGCGCACGGATCCAGTCCCGGAATTGTAACTCTCCCGCAGGACATCAAAAAACCCCGAAATAGAAACGTATAGGAAAAGAATATATATTACTTTATTAAAATAATGAAAGAAATGTTTGGAACATCCCAAATGTAGCTCTGCTACTTATTACCCATATGCATTACTTTATTAAACTGTAACTGTAAATAAAGAATGAAATAAATACTTAAAACACTAAAGAAAAGTTAGTCTAAGATCTTCAAATGTTGACATTGTCAATCTTGTCTTTTATTCCCTGATACTTCTTTGGATTATACTCAGGATCACTCCCATTATCACCATCGTTGCCACTATCATCATCATCATCTTCCTCAAGAGCCATTTCTTCATCTGGGTCTCTGTTAGACTCATCAGATTAAGTTAATGATTACTGGAGGGATTGGAGGATTTGGATTAGGAATGCATGAAGTATCTCCAGACTCATTATCTTGCTCCATTGGCTCACCTTCACTCTCATAAGTTTTCTCAGGTTCTGACTTAGACATGGAATCATAGTTTTCTGAAGAATAGTAAGGTGCATTTTGTTTCGGAGCTGGATCACCAAAGTTATGGTAAGGTGGAGGATAAGCAGTATACTGAGGGTTAAGGTAAATAAATTCCTTGTGAGCAATATCACGGTATAAGTATCTCCAATTTGCTCCCCACTGACCATTAGAGTCCTTATACTTAGTATAGTTAGCTACACCATTAGGCAAATGAAAATCACGAAAGCGACTCTTAATAGCTTCATAGGGAGGATAGTTAGGCAAGCAATGAACAATCATGACAGAGACATAATTAGGTTGGTCAAAATGACGCTCTCCAAACACATCAGATCTATATAAGTACAGTAAAAACGATTCCTGTGAATATAATCCCACACATGCTCATAGTCCTTCTTTACTAAGTGCCCATGGTAGTGAATCTACTAGGTAAATCAAACATCCTGCAAGGTATTTTGGGTCATGACTCAAGAAAGAAAAGTTGCTTTTTCAATTCAAGTATACAGTTCTTTGCAAAAATAAAAAAATAAAAAAATAAAAAAATAAAAAAAAAATTAAGTTTGGTGTTCAATCATTCAATTTATATTATTACACATAAACATGCTTTCACTTAAATACATATTATCATACAACATGCTTGAACACCTTGCATAAATAAAATATGCACATAGGAAGACATACAATTCTAGCCTATATGCCCTTTCTTTCCTACCCAATCTAACCACATGCTTTCAAAAGCGATTAACACATAATTACATACCTTAATTGCTTCGAATACCTGCACACATAATCTTTTTTTTTTTAATCAAACTTTATTTTCGAAAATAATTGCCCAAAATAATAATAATAATAAATTCGAACCCCTTTTAAAAAAAATTCGGCCCTTATTATTTTTTTTTTAAAAAAAAATTCGGACCACTTAAAATTAAAAAAAAATATCGGCCTTTGTTAAAAAAAAAATCGAACCTCTAAAAAAAATATTTTCAAATTTAATTAAATAAGCACTTGACCAAGCTTTAAAACATAGGTACCTAAAAAAAACGTTTTTGGCTTTAGAGGTAATTAAAATCCAACCAAAACTCCCAGATACCACTTTGTAATACCCTGGAAATTTCCTTCTTTTAAAATACTCATTTTACTCTAAATAAAACCCTTTTTAGGAAATAACCAAAATATTACCGCCACTTTCTCTTTATTTCAATCCCTCTACTCACCATAAAAATGGATCATAGTAGGGCCTATCCAAAGGAAAGCCAACCACAAACACAAAAGTACGAATAAGAAAAAGCTGAGTACATATGCACCACACTAACATAAATATCCTACCATCAACAAAGATAATTAAAACATGTTCGTCATACAATCACAAGTTAACTTACCTTTGACTCATAACTAACAATATGAATTATTAAATATAATTTTGGATTACGCATCGAACAGGTTTCCTTCCTTAAAAATATAGCCTATTAAATATTGAGCTTCCAATTAGGGAGCTACCCCAATTGGCACCTACTATGTCACACTTGTGACGGAATTCCAAGCACATTATTAATAAAAAAAAGTACAGCGTCCTGTACCCCTGTAGAAGCTATGATTAAATATAAAGCCCCATAACTCCCCCATATGTTCATAATCTAGCTGTATACGTTCCAAGAGTTTTGATTTGTATTCTTTTACACTTTACGTGATTTACCAATTTAATATGTGATGACTCCAACCAATCAATCAAGAACAAACATAGCAACATTCATCTCATACTTCTAGTTCATTCTTGAATTAATTAGTGAGCACATACTATTTATTTCAATTAAGGTTTCTTGCCTAGTTTTGTGCACAAAATTGCACGATTACTACCTTGGTGCATAAGATGCACTATTAAACTTCCTTGACTCAAACTCAAATTACATGAGTGAGTAAATAAATAAAATAACTTCTTGACTCAACACCAATAATAAATGGGTGAGAAATAAATTCATGAATCATGCTCAATAATTCTAACTTTAGCTCTTTTAAATATACATAAGCCTTGCTTATTAAATTCATGATTTCTTAATACTTGAAAATAAAACATACTTCCATGATTCATACATATTCAACTTGTATTATGCATCAAACAACATATTCACACGCTTGCATAATAATTCATGCTCAACCAACGACAATTCCAAGCATATAATGAACCAAACATGCTACTACTTCATCCGTTAAATCATACTTTACAAACCTAGCATGATTCTACGCATACACAAATATTCTTGTGCACATACGTACCTTGAATAGTGCCTAAACTTGGTCACACTCGCTAGAAATCACCTAGATTAAAGCTTCCTACAAAGAAGATTTTATAACTATATATAATTAATCCACTATTTTCACAAATTTCCAGCAACTATAATACTCTTTATACCTTACTAATTAACCCAATTTAATGGTATAAAAGCCATAAAACCTTTTCTTTAAGTGTGTACTTTAAATCCTTTTAAAAAGACTTAGTTTTTGTGACTTCAATAAAATTCCAGCATACTTATTTAATATAAAACATCATTAATAGACTAGAAAATCATATTTATATCATTAAAACCTTTTTTTTCCCTTTTATGGGTAATCAAACCCTAAAACCATATTTAAAAAGTAGTGTGTATAATTAAATTTCAGCATTAATTTGAAGGCTTTAAACTCATTAGAAACATGTTTAAACCATTAATTTAACAATCGCAACAACCAACCTAGGATCAAACCCTGACCATAAACATTAAATTCCCAAATTGTAGGCTTTGTAAATTGGGGTTATTAATTAAATTAAAATCTGAAAATTATGTGAATAATTTAACACATCAAATACCCAAAATCAATACCAAAACATAATAAAAAATCATGCTTTAAAATAATAAAACAGCTAATATTAAATTAGGAGAAAGAAAGAGTTTTTTTTATTTATTTTTATTTATTTTTATTTTTATTAAAAAAATAACAATACCGAACCAAAAACAAAAGAGAGAAGGATGGTGGCCGGCTGGTGGTCGTCGGCTGCTGCTGCTGGCCGCTAGTGGTTGGTGGTGGCGCCGGTGGCTGTCGGGTGTGAGGGGAATAGAAGAGGGAGAGAGAGGCGTGGGAAAAGAAAGTGAAAAAAAGAGAGGAAAAAGGAGAAAAAATAGGAGGAAAAACTTGTAGGGTTTTTGTGAAATCTGACAATTATGATTTTAGAGTGTAAAGTTCTTGAGGTTTTAAGTATTTATACTTCCCTTTTAAAAAAAACACTTATTTACAAAACTACTATTACTAATCCTACTCCCCTTTAACTTCTCCTTTGGGGCTAACTTATTCGCTGCGGAACAAAACGAAACCCTAGTAACATAGAGTGTCAAGTAGGGCCATATCAACCCTTTAGGGGAAACAATTTGTTCCCGGCATCAATTTTAACCACCTTAGGTGGTGGAAATGGAGGAGGCGTTGATGGAGGAAGCTAGACTATGGAGGATGGAGGAGGCAACAATGGAGAAATTCTGAGGAAGATAGAAGAAGAAAGCAATTAAAATAGCCGGACTATTTTACCTCTACTTAAACAGGCGAAATTACAACCGTATCCCTTAAGTAACAATTGGTCGATTCATGTTACTATGCTTGAGTAACTTGAATTTTCTCTTAAAAAACCCTCTTCACATCCAAATGAGATAATAGGACCTTTGATGCTTTTTTTTTTTTAATTTTTTTTTTTAAAGGACCTTTACCACGTAATGGAACACTAAAAAGATCTTTTGACAAATTTTCCTAATGAATTACGTAGAGCTCTGAGCAATCCATTTAGGCATTTACCTTTACTCTTCGTACAATCGTACTTAATACCTCTGGGTTTAAGCAACAAAAAAAATTTAATTTGTTGAAGTACAAAACTTCCTCCATTTTCGCATGGTGAAATTGGTGTTAATTCCATGAAACTATTGATCAACCGCAGTCACACCTCTCTCCGATCATCCCACGTATCTCAAATCCTCTCTTTCTGCAAATTAGGCGCATTGTTCGAATCGCTCAAACTCCTAAACACCATTAATTCAGCAGAAATCAGCTCAGATGTAAAACCCTTAGTTTATGCTTCTCTTCTACAAACTGCAACCAAAATCAAGTGCTTCAATCATGGCTTACAACTCCATTGTTACATCACAAAATCTGGTCTTATTGCAAACAGTCTTGTGGGTAACAGCTTATTATCTTTGTATTTCAAATTGGGCGGGAATTTGAATTTAGCAACAAAATTGTTTAATGAATTGCGTACAAAAGATGTGATTTCTTGGACTTCAATGATTTCTGGATATGTACGGGTGAAACCCCGGAAAGCGATTAAATATTTTTGGGCTATGTTAGATGATGGTATTGAGGCTAATGCTTTTACTTTATCGGCTGGGATTAAGGCGTGTTCTGAAATTAGGTATGTTAGGCTTGGTAGATGCTTTCATGGGGTTGTTTTCAGAGGCGGGTTCGAGTTAAATGATGTGATTGCTAGTGCATTGATGGATATGTATGGTAAGAATGGGTGTTTGAAGTATGCGCGCAATGTGTTTGATAAATTGTCTGTACCAGATCCTGTTTGTTGGTCTTCGATCATTTCGGCTTTGATAAAGAATGATTTGTATGAGGAGGGTTTGGCATACTTTTATGTTATGCAAAGGGAGCATAAGGTGGTGCCGGATGAGTTTACGTATGGGTCGATTTTGACAGCTTGTGGGAACTTAGAGAGGTTGAAGCAAGGGAAAGAGGTTCATGCTAGGGTCATCACAGCTGGGCTTTGTGGAAATGTAGTGGCAGAGAGTAGCCTGGTAGATATGTATGGGAAATGCGGGCAAATGGGAGACTCTCAACGCGTTTTTGATAGAATGAGGAAAAGAAATGCGGTGTCTTGGTGTGCCTTGCTTAATGGGTACTGTCAAAATGGTTTGTTTGAGTCTGTTGTTAAGCTTTTCAGGATGATGGAGGATCCTGATCTTTACAGTTTCGGAACCCTTATCCGGGCCTGTGCAGGTTTGGCTGCTGTAAGACAGGGAAGAGAGGTTCATTGTCAGTATATAAGGAAGGGTAGGATGGGACATGTTATTGTTGAATCTGCTTTAGTTGATCTCTATGCAAAATGTGGGTGCATTGATTATGCTCAGAGATTGTTTATGCAGATGCCTACCAGAAATTTGATCTCTTGGAACTCAATGATATGTGGTTTTGCACAGAATGGTAGAGGTCTTAAAGCAATCGAGTTATTCAATAAAATGGTTAAAGAGGGTGTTCGGCCTGATTACATTAGTTTTCTTGGCGTCATCTTTGCTTGTAGTCATGCTGGCTTGGTTGAGCAGGGGCGGGGGTATTTTTTCTCTATGACTGAAGTATACGGAATCAAACCTGGAACTGAGCATTGCAATTGCATGGTGGATCTTTTAGGTCGAGCTGGGTTGATAAACGAAGCTGAAAATTTGATCGAGAAAGCTGAGTGCAAAGACTCTTTTTCTCTGTGGCCAGCTCTTCTAGGTGCTTGTACAACCAACAGAAATTCAGCTGCTGTGGAGCGAATTGCGCTGAAAATGATGGAACTGGAACCTAAAAACCATCTAAGTTATGTGCACCTTATCAATGTTTACAAATGTGATGGTCGTTGGAATGATGCTTTAAAGATAAGGAAGTTAATGGACGATAGAAGAGCAGAAAAGTTGCCTGGCAAGAGTTGGGTTGAAAATGCATTTGGGTTAGTTCAGATTGCTGATAGTAACATGGAGAGTGTGCTAAGGTGACACAAAAGAGAAGCTCTAAAGATTCTTGGAAAGTGTTGGGTTGACAACAGATCTGAGTTTTTTCAAATCTACCATCATTGGAGGGTGTATAAACTACTCGTGTAACAGAGAAACTGGAAGTGATAAAGTGATTGTCATATTTGATGGAAACTGAATTTATTCCGACTACACTGTGAATATGCAGATTGACTTCTGTACCATTTGTTGTTTCCAGTTTCTGATGTATTTTGCAGATTGGATTTAGGATATACTGTACTTCATATAATTATGCAATCCAGGGCTGTTTATTCTTACCTTTCTGTCTTAAACTTTTACTCCCAGTAAAAAAACAAGCAAGCAATATTGCTGCAACTTAGGTACTTGTGTCAGGCACATGTATTTGAAGAAAAGTATCCATGTATTCAGTCGAATTGAAGTATCAAGTTTTCATGTCAAGTGTTGAGGATCCAGCACCAATACTTGAGATAAAGAATAGCCCGAGTAATAGTAAGCAAGCAGTTCAATAGTTCTGGGCCTTCTGGCAGAATTGTAGAATCACTCTGCAGAATATTGCAGTAATACCGTACATAAAATCATATTTTTGTAATAGTATCTTGTCGCTCTTCTGGTGCATTGACCCTGGAACTCCAAACCTGTGTCCGAACTTCTCATCTTTTGTATGGAGTATACTGAGATTTTCACACTCAGTTGAGAATTCACAGAAACTATTCCTCTGCACTCTTGCAATGATGCAATTACCAACCAATTTGCTGGCTGTCTATGTTACCTTGCAGGTTACACTGTTGTATTCTGTTACAATTATTAATTGCTTTAAGATATTAATCAATCACCAACGATGAAAATAGCTCTAGTTGTAAAACGTATGTCGTGCAACAAGGTAAAGGGGGATTTCAGTGGACTTCATGCTGAAGAAAGTTGGAATGAAAAATAGTTGTGGTTTGAGTTAGTCGTGCAGGTGCCATACAAGGACAATTCTCCAAAGAAATAACTGGCTTTGATATTGTATCACTCCAACAGACTACAGTCCTACTGATAGCTTGCTTTATTCAAAACTGTATTACTCTTAATGATATGTTTAGATTGCTCTGAGCAAAGTCAGGACCTCATTTCAGCAGTCAGAAAAACTGAAATAGGAAACCTATTCAATGGGAAGGGAGCGAGATTAATTGAGACAAGGGATTTAACGCAGTTAGATTCCCAAATTTTAAATTATGACGAAATTTTATTTTATTATTTTTTTTGAGTGCTTTTCCTAAATATTGTTGAGAAGATTTGCAATTCCATATATACATCTACTTTTTAAATAATTCTCAATATACTGTCCACGTCAGCCGTAATGAATTACTTTTTTTTTTTCAATTTATTGATACAACGCTATCTTAGATGGCAGTTTATATAGGAAAACCGCTACTTCAAGTAGCGGTTTACACTCACTATCAAAATTTCAACCTCATCTCGCTGCTCTCATTCTCAACTCACTTTTTCAGATAAAAACAAAGTCCCCAATTCTCTATTGCCCATCATCCATTCTACCCACTCAAATTTCAGATCTCAAACATCTCTCATACATTCTTCAAATTTTCATTCTCCATTGCCTAGCATCTTCAAATTAGGGGATTTTTCGATTAAGTTTGAGAATTTTATTTTTATTTTTTTATTTTTTTTAATTCAATTTGTTCTGGGTAGTTTGTGGAATTATCTTGCAATTCTCTAACTCAATCCTAACTTTTTTCATCTTTTTATACGAAGTATATACTGTTATGTTCTTCCCCTTCTTTTTTATGTTCTCCCCCTTCTCTCTCTAAAATCAGATTACTCTGATTTTTTTCTCACTAACCAGATAAGATTTGATTTTGTTTTTATTTTTTTATTTTTTTTTTGTTTAATTTGGAGAAGTATAATTAATTTTGCCTTGTTTCCATTCCATTTTTCATCTGAATTCATCCCTGATTATTGTAGAACTTTTTCAGAGAAGATTGAATCCATTTCATCTGAATTTATTTATTTTTTTACATAAAATGGAAACCACCACTTGAGTTGGCGGTTTTCCCCCAATTGAAAACTGCTAACTCAAGTGGTAGTTTTGTGTTAAATTATTAAAAAAAAAAATAGTTTTATACTTAAATGGTGATGTGGACAGTAGATTGGGAAATTGTAAAAGTTTAGCTGTATTTATGGAACTGATAATAGTTGCAGCATTATTTAGGGAAACCACTCATTTTTTTTAAGGAAAAAAAAAAGAGGAAAGAAAAGAAGCTATGGTTATTCAAGCCATCTTGTTGCCTGATCATAAGAATGATTTGAAATTTCAAGCAGTCAATATGATAGTCTATCTTGCATTACAAGTATAAGTTAGTAAAGCATACTAATTTAAATTATGGGTTCGTTTGGTAGGACGTAAAATGTTTTCCTTGAAAACTATTTTCCCCATTTTACATTGTTTGGTCAAACTGAAAATTAGAATGGAAAATTTAGGCTGTAAAATTGTTTTACACCACAGTTGAAAACATTTTCCTCCAAAATTCAAAGGAAAACGTTTTCCTTTCTGTTCTCACAAATCACAAAACTCATCCACTATACTTTCTCTCTCCTCTTAAACACTCATCAACATTTTCTCTCTCCTCCCAAACGCTCTCTAATCTTCATTTTCGCTATCATCGCAAATCTCACTCATCAATCTCAACGAATTTGGTACATAATTGCTCTAATCTCTTTTATAATCAATTATTTTAGGGTTTTGTTCTGAAAAATTTGATTGTTTCTAAGGTATATATGCTGCAAGATTTGATTAATTTGTGTTATATTGTTTGATTAGTTTGTGCAAATTGTTATATTTATTTTGTGCGAATTTATTCGATTAGTTTTAGCACGAAATTGTTTGATTTATTTTATGTGAATTTGTTCGATTAGTTTTAGTCCCAAATTGTTTGATTGTTTAGTTTTGTGCGAATTTGCTGCAAGATTTGATTAATTTGTGTTGTATTGTTTGATTAGTTTATGCAAAATTGCATTTTCGCAGCTTCAAATAAAGTGAAGTGAATGTAATCCTGGTTATGAATGGGGTTGGAAGTCAATGTTGCTTTTAGTGGATTTGATTTATTGCAACCCAAACAACAGTCATATTAGGAACTTGGTTAAACCATATTCCAACATCACGATTGGCAGAGTTTGGTGGGCTGAAAAACCCAGCTTGAAAGTACCATTTCTTGATACTATAGAATGATAATCCTATAGGAATTGAGTGCTGGTGATGCTGTGGCTGCCAATGGCAGAGAAAAGCAGCAAGCAAAAATAGTGTAGAAAGATAAAAAGCCAATACAGATGATATGATTGCTTAACTCTTGTTGGGGTTTCGATTAGGTTTTCAATGGGGTTGCTTATCTTTTTATTAGTAATCTTTTTAAAATTTTGATGAGCTTGTGATTTCCCATTTATTTCATATTGACATTATCTCAATCTATCATGGAGTCGAACAATGTTCAAAAGTCTCAGGTATTAATCCACCTTATGCAATAATAATTTGTCATATGTATGTGATTAAAGGAACTAATTTCCTTGATTTTATTTTTATTTTTTAATCATTGTAGATGATTCGTAAACGCATGATCATTGGTGGTGTTACCGCTATTATTGCTTATGTCCTTGCTTTCCTTAACGTTAAAAAATATAGGACTAAAAGACCTAAAATAGTTAGGCAACCTTATGTTAATAGGGATAGCTTAAGGGAGGCTAATATCGATAGTGTTTTATATTGTGGTGATAGTCATTGACTTGGATAGATTTGCATGAGGCCTAGTACTTTTTTTAGCTTATGTAATATCTTGGTTGAAAGGGGACTTTTGTCTGAAAGCAAACAAATGAGTGTTAAAGAGCAAATACTTATTTTTTTATACTTGTTGGGTCATAATGTAAGATTTAGGGATGTTAGGGGGAGATTTTTTTTATCTACTTGGACTATACATTGCTATTTTCATATTGTGCTCCAAGCAATCCTTCGGTTGTACCCATATTTAGTGAATCCACTAGGAACTCATATGCAACCAGAAATTCAGAACAATCCTAGGTTTTTTCCTTGGTTTGAAGACTTCATAGGTGCTATAGATGGGACTCATGTACGTGCATCAGTTCCTATTGAGATGCAAGAGAGATTTCGAGGAAGAAAGGATAAGACAACACAAAATGTACTAGCAGCCGTAGACTTTGATCTAAAGTTTACTTATGTGCTTGCTGGCTGGGAGGGTTATGCCCACGACTCAAGGGTTTTGGGTGATGCACTTAGAAAGGGATTTAAGGTTCCCGAAGGTAATATTAATTATTTTTCTCTTGTTGATAATAGTGGTCTAAACTTAACTTGAATTGATTAAAGTATGATAATAATTTATGGATGTGAGGAAATACTATCTTGCTGACGCTGGATATGGGGACCGTAAAGGTTTTATGCCTCCATTTAGACGTGTTCGTTACCATTTGAAGGAGTATATTGACAATCCTCCCGAGAATGAACAAGAATTATTCAATCTTCGCCATTCTTCACTGAGGATGTGTATAGAGAGGGCGTTCGGGGTGTTAAAAAAGAGATTTTGCGTCTTAGATGCTGAGCCTTTTTTGTCATATGAAACCCAAGTGGATGTGGTTCTTGCTTGTTGTGTGATACATAACTACCTAAGAGGTGTTGATCCCAATGATGCAATTACACAAGAGGCTGACTTGGAGGTTGAAACACATGACATAAGGAAATCGCTTACTCGAAAGGAAATTCGTGAGGAAACCAAAGAGTGTGTGAAAAAACGAAATTCTATAGCATTGGCCATGTGGAATGCATATAAGAAGCACCGAACTAATTGAAGTTGTAGAATGTTATTTCTTATTTAATAGATTGTAAACTATTTTGATAGACTCATGGTTCAAGTGAATATATTACTACATTATCAAATATATTGACTTCATATCTAATCGATTGATTTTTATTTTATCTTTTGTCTTTTTGGCCAATTGCTAAGGTCTAGCAAATCATATACTGTATATTGTTGCAATGCTGCTGCCGTGAGTCTATATTTCTGATTTTGCTTCCTATTATTAGTTTATTTTGTTGTGTGTTTAATTTACTTGTTATGCAGGTGAAAGACGAGAAAAAAGTTAATTTTCGTTGGTCAAAACAAATGTCTAAGGAGCTATTGGAATTTCTTGCTGAAGAAGTGAGGAAAGGACACCGGCCAAATAATACTTTCAGGACTAGCTCCTTCATTGCTGCTGCAAAGACGATTTCTGAAAAGTTTCACACCACATGTACTGCTGACCATGTTGAGAATCATATGAGGACAGTGAGAACTACTTGGGGAGTTATCTCTCAAGTGCGAGGAAGATCTGGGTTTGGTTGGGATGATAATGTAAAGATGGTGACTGCTTCACCAAATGCTTATGAAGCTTATATTCAGGTTTGATTGTTCATATGTTCTGCTTATTCTTTGTTGTTGGATTGATTGATTGCTCATTTACTTCCAATATGGTCATAGTTCTTCAGTTATTGGACCTGCATTTTGTGAGATAATAAATTTGATAATAAAGCTAAAGAAAAGTTGACCTGCTTGTACGAGTTATTATGTATTCATGGAGTATTAATGTGATTAGCATACCATTTTTCTTTGTAAGCCTATGGAGCAACCTCCCTACCTAGGACCTGTCTTTGACCTCTCTGTACTCACATTTGTTAGTCTTCAATAGTTTCTGCTTGATTGATTTGGTCTGAACACCGCCTTTCCAATGTCATTTTTTTGGGTGGGTGTTCTTATTGTTGATCTTCACAATGCCGTTTTTATCCACTGTTACTCTTAAGAAAATCCGAATATGTAGGATGTGCTCGATATGTGGTCAGAGGGATCCTTAATCTTTGTTTGGGTGGCATGTATTCTAGCAATCTTCCCCGTCCTACTGTAGGAAACTGTTCTTAAAATTTTGAAATATTCCATGTGTTAACTTTATGAATTGTACTGACCAACCTGCTGTTAATTGCAAGCTATTCTAACAGATGCTGTCATGCAGTCATGCTAACAATACTCTTAGGCAACTCTTTTGAGATGATCATTACTTGTTAATGTGTGTTACTCTTCTTGTGTATGTGATTAATATGAGCTACTCCTTTACTTAACAGCAATATCCATCTCATGAGAAGTATTTGAACAAGAAAATTGACATGTACGACGAGATATCAATAGTGGCAGGCAAGGACATTGCAAGGGGTAATTTTTCCAAGACGTTTGGTGACATTCAAACTAATTCAAGTGGGCAGCCAAGTACTATTGAAGTCGAGCCTACTAAGTCAGACAGTGCAACTTCTTCGGAGCCTAGATATCATAAGTAAAGATTTCGAGCTGAAGAGGAAGAAGGTGACTTGCGTCACATTTCTACACAACTAGGAGAAGTAGTTAGTTCTCTCAAGAAGTTTTTGGACAATCAACTTGATGTCGAAAAATTGTATGGGGAGATCATGAAAATGGATGATGTTGATGAAGCTGTTCGTATTGCTGCATTTGACCACCTATTTGAGCATGAAATGCTAGCTAGGGCCTTCTTGACCAGAAGCTCTTAGGAAGCTTTAGGTCCAAAATTTCGTTAAATCTCTACGTTAATTTTTTTATTTCTTTTGTTCTACCAACTTTGTGATAATAATTATATGTCGATATGGACAAGTTTTAATCCTAGTAACCTTTTATTATCGTGGTAATTATTAGGACTCTTGTTGAACTTTTATAAAGTTTATAAAAAAGACTATTTGGTTTATTTTGATTATTTTATATTATTATGTTTGAAGTAAAATATAGTATAATATATTGGGGTAGCTAATAATGAGTAAGAAAATATTTGAAAATAATAAAAAAGAAAAGAAAAGGAGTAAAAGAAATGACAAGAGAATAGAGAATAAAATTAGAATTGAAGTTTTCCATTAGTAAATAATTTTCAGTTCAACCAAACAAAATGCTTAAAATGGAAAATCATTTTCCATTCAACCAAACAACGGAAAACTTTTTTGAAAATGAGTTTTCCATTGTAAAATGATTTTCATGGCAAACCATTTTACATTGAAAATGTTTTACACCCTACCAAACGAACTGTAGATGTGCCTTAATCAAAATAAACAAAACTTATCCACAAAGCAATGACTTGCACGCTACAGGATCAATATTATGGAGTACTACATTTACAGCAACAGCATCACTACTACTAGTCTTCTATTATGTTTACAAGCATGGAGTTCACCATTACAAAATTTACAACAAAAATGTTTTACAAAAGATCTGAAAGTTGGAGCGGAAAAGGGGGGACGGGGAACTGACCATACTGCACATGTTTAACCGACTCTAAATTATTCTGGTAGGCAATACGTCTACACAGTAAAAATCCAAGGGGAGCTATCACTTCATACAAAATGTTTTAAGCTGTCAATATTCAGGTTTCATCCTCATAATACAGTTCAAATTCCGACTCAGAATTCATGTCAAAACCAAATTTCATCTCTTGGCTAACCAGTTCAGCAAGATCAGGTCTGTTAGCATTTTTATAAGCGTTTACAATGGCATTAACCAAGGATTCATTAACCTCAATCTCTTGATATTTCAGCTGACCATAAATCCGTCTGACCCCCTCAACCATATTGGATTTTCCATAACAATTCACAAGATTAATATAAGTAACAACATCAGGTCTAAACCCCTCATCTTGCATCCTCATAAAAAGATTCAAAGCCTTATCAGTATTTCCACATGCTGCATAAGCATATATAGCTGCATTGTATGCAAAAGAATCAAGGTTTATGGCTTCTGTAAATGCTTCACAAAATTCAATTGTAAAAGAATGCAACCCCACGACTGAGAAAACACATGCGATGACAGCTTGACTTGCCCAAGGTTTTCCTTCTTGGTAAGATGCTTCTAACTGCTGGATTGCTTCACTGGGCATCCCACCCTTTTTCAGTATTGTGAATAATACTTTAAAGGTACTAGCTTCAGGCAAGAATTTTCGAGTGACCATTTCATAGAGCAGTTCACCGCAGTCAGCTAGCTGGCCATTTGTTGCATAGCATGCCATTACCTTGGTATATGAAGCACAATCAGTGACTAAACCAGCCCGTTTCATTTCTTCAGCAACTTCAGAAGCTTCATCAAGCATCCCCATGTTCTTGTATAAGTTCATTATAAGAGCAAATGTTATACCATCTGCCTGGCCTTTTAGTCGCACATTATCAAATATAGCTTTAGCCTCAGAAACGATACCAAGATCAGCATACAGACTGATCATACTATTTGAAGCAACTATATCAGGTCCACCCTCTAATCGTTTCAATGACTCGTACGTCTCTTTGGCGCCCTTTAGGTAACCTCCCTTGCTATATGCCTTAATAAGGGATGTCAAGATGATTTGGTTTTCAGAAATCCCATCACCTCTCATCATTCTGTAGTAGTATAAAGCTTCTTTAGTTCTACCAGCTTCGGCAAATCCATTGATTAAAACCCCATAAACAACTTCATTTGGTTTTAAACCATCGTTAATCATTTCTTGGAAGGTACTGATGGCATCAGATAACAGTCCTAGGCGTGCATAACAAGCAATCACAGCAGAAAAAGTCTGCACATGTGGCTTCAATCCAGCTTCCTGCATTTGGATCAAAACTTCCTTAGCTTGATCCAACAGATCACCTCCTGCAAACATTTGTATCATAGAATTATAAGTGCATTCATCTGGCCATGTTCCATAATTCCTCATGCTCTTGAAAACTGAAAAGGCCTTCTCATAAAGCTTTGCCTTGCCAAATGCTTTGATGAGCACATTGTATTCAGAAACATCTTTCTTCGCCCCTTTAACATCTCTTTTTGCATAGAATATGTCCTCAGCTTCAGCACACATTCCTATCTCAGCATACACATCCATAATTGCTGCATATGTCTTTGATGACAACCCTCCATCTACCAGACACTTTTCAAAAAAAGTTCTAGCCTGCTCAAGCAGTCCTTGATTCACATACATCTTTACAATACCTGGTATAGAATGCTCATCAATATGTTTTTTAAATCTCTCAATCTCACTAATCACAACTTCTGCTTCTTTAACCATCTGTCTCTCACACAACATATGGAGCACAGCTCTTTGCGTCACCGCATCAGGGAAAAGATCAACCTTTCTGATCTTATGGTACCATTGCAGGGCAGCAACAACATTTCCAGCTTGAGCATGAAGAGAAAGTAACGTATTATAAGTTTTTGTATCTGGTTTAGTTCCCCTTTCTTCCATCTTCTCAAACAACGCCTCAGCCTCAGACAGATGTCCATGACTTCCACAAGTGTGAATAAGAGTATTGAATGTGATTGTATCAGGTGCCACCCCTGACTTTAACATTTCAGAGAACACACCAGCTGCATCATCCAAACGTCCAGCCTTGCTGTATAAATCAATCATAGTATTATAAGTAGCCGTAAGTTGAGGCTTTCTAACAGTATTTTCCATCTCAAAATTCTCCCCCTTTGCAGGCGAATACCTTCCTCCAATCTTAAACAGTTCTGTTGACAAGAAATGCTTCAAACTCAAAGATTTCAGCTTAGATTGCGACTGAATATCATTCAAATCATCCAAATCAAGACCTTGGAACTCAATCTTTCCATCACACCAGTCCTTATAAAACCTATCCGCCCTATCAAATTCACCAGCATCTTTCAACACCTTAACAATCGTACTCATTGTCACTTCATCCGGATAAACATCCCGAACCCTCATATGCTTAATCCACAAAAGAGACTCCTCCACAAGACCAGCCTTCCCATACACATCAATAAGCATACTATAAGTATTATTCGTAGGCATAACGCCGTCTCTAGCCATTTCAATCCAACAATGCCTCAACTCATCCCATCTCTGAGCTCGACCGAGCATTCGTAACACAACATTGTAATGAATAACATTAGGCACATAATCCTTCTGTAACCTAATCCAATCAAAAATCTTCAATACTCTCTCCCAACTACTCTGCTCTTTCAAAATCACAGTCAATTCTTTGGGACTCAACTTACCCACATACAAATTAAGGGTTTTCTCACTATCTTGTTCAGAATCTAAAGACCTTAAGACAGAAGGTAAAGTACCCCCATATTTCTTCTTTTTACCATTGACAAATTTTGAGGTTTTCAAGTGAGAAACCAATGCATTTGAAACACAATTAAGCTTAAATCCTGAAAGAAACCAGGCCCGTCCCCGGTACAGGGCAGGAGGGGCGGCCGCCCTGGGCCATGGGAGTTGAGGTCTAATATCATAGTTCAATCCTAACATTAAAGGGTTCTGCAATACATTACCAACCAACTTTGATTGTGAAATTGATATGATTGCTTACAAAAAGAAACAATAGCTTACCTCAGAAGCTGCTTCAATGGAGGATACAAGTATTTCAATGGAGAACTTCAATGGATAACTGACAGAGAGGAGGAGGAGGCAAGGCTATGTTCATCCGTTTTTTTTTTTTTTTTTTTTGACAGAGAAATTCAATGGGTTGGAGCCCCGTTAATATAAGCCATAACCCACCCAAGTTATAATGGGTCAGATCCGTCTATAAAATAATTGGGGCGAGTCTTTACGAGATTTGAAATTAGAAATAGACCTCGAATCCATTTCTCTTCTACCCTTCTATTTTTATCAAATACGAGTATCATTTTCATACACCAAATTTAGTATGAAGTAGATGAAACTCGTGCAATGCACCGATTTATTTGTATTTTTTAAAACAAATATTTTTTTGTATGTACGTGATTAAATTTGTTATTTTATTCGTTGTATGTAGTATATTATTTGATATTCTTATTTTAAAATAAATTGTGAGTTTATATTTTGATAAAATTCATAATTTTAAAAGATAATCTTTTATATTTAATTAAATTAAACTTTAAAATCTCATTCGCCAGTTTTTCTTATGTGGTATTTGAATAATTTATTTTTAAAAGAAATTACAAATATCTCATGTGATTGGCTATAACTAAAATTTATAATCATGCATAGCGCGTGAAGAAAAATTTATCTTATGTGGCTCTCTAAAAACTCGGGAAAAAACTCCCCTTTATATATATACTAGTTTTTTGCTCGGGCGATGCCCGAATTGTTGAAAAAAATTTTAGCATAAATTTTTTGGCTTAAATGTTAAATACGATCATATATAGTCACTTCACAATATCATATCGCTTATTTATATAAAAAATTTAGTTTTGTTTGTAAATAGATATCTATGACTCTATGTTATTACAAACTTGAAATTATTTTTGATATTTTTATTGAACTTAAATTATTTTTACTGAACTGAAAGTATTTTTAAAAAATTAAGTTTTTTTTTTCTGATTAAAACTTATTTTTACTGATTTTCTAGTATTTTTTAAATGAATTAAATATATTATAAATAGATCTAATTATAAAGAACTTTTTAAAATGAATTTTATGATGGAAATAGAACCGAGTTATACGATATTTATTAAAAGTTATGATTAATTTTGTATATATGAAATGTTAGAAGTATATCAACAATAAAACTCTATAAAACAATATTATCTTAAAATATCTATCCAAAATTCGCTTACTTAGCATCATTTATGTCACAATAATACCTAGTTTTCGCCTATGTGGCGTGATACTTGGCAAAAAACTGGAATGCCAAGTGTTGTTGTCTCATGACCTGGCTGCGAGACCTGCTTTATTTATTAGTGATATGATATGGTTAGATTAAATTTGTACGGAGTACGTAAGATTCTTTTTGGGAATTTTTTATTTTAAAAAATGGAGAGATAAAAAAACAAGGGCAATATCAAATCTAAATTAGACTTGTTTTTGCTTTTCAATCTACTAGGGCGGCTAACGCGTGCGATGCGAACGTACAACTAGCCTTGTCAACTTTAGTTGTTAGTAACATTAATGAGAGAAAATATATAAACAAATATTTTTGGGTATAAGTGTTCACAATATATTCTTATGAGTTAAAAAAAAAATCTATTAAAATTAATGAGGATAAATTATTATTATATAAACATTTTAAGGACATAATTGTCTCAACACTATTCATGAAAGTGTGGTCATACTTTTAAAAGGGGTAAATACGTAAATAGAAATTTTTAGGGGCATAATCGTCTCAAAACTATTCATAAGAGTTAACTCATACTTTTAAAAAGGTAGATATATTATATTTATTTTTTGAAATAGATGTTATCCTTGGTGTTTACGGGTATTTCGGGGAAGCAAGATGTCCAATGTCTAAACGTACTTGAAGTCTACCTTGCAAGGGTGTCGGAGAGGTACACTTGCAAGAGAAAGAAGGTAAGCAGCCCCGAGGGGTTGACCCGAGAATGCCCATCCGACGCTTAAGTCAGTAAAGTATAGGGATTTAGGTACTCTAAGCGGAATTTCATGAATCATATTCATACGCACCTAAAATAGGATCGCATGCATAACACACAAGAATCACATAATTATACCTTTGAAGTGTGATTTCCACAAAGCAAATTGATTGACAAATCAGGGAGAGAATAGAGCCCCAAGCGTGACTCCTCTACTTAGTCCACGAGATTCGATCAAGCCGTCCACCAATACTAGATTGGTCGAGTGAAGGGGAAAACCATGATCACCACCTTTATGGACAACCGGCCACCACCACGAACACCACCACCACCGTGCACACACACCGACGCCGAGGAGGGGAGAGAGCCGTGAGAGAGAGAGAAGGAGTATGAGAGGGTTGGTTTCGTGTTTGCTAAATCGGGTTTCAATTAACAGTAAAACTGTTCTACTGAAAACCTAGGCACCTAGTCTATGTATAATCCTATTATAACTAGACTAGGTTAGGAAGCTCAAAGCCCTCCAAACTTCACCTCATGGCCAGCCACCTAGAGTGCTAAGGCCCATCATGGGCCTCTTCCTCTTATGCTTAATCTAGGCCCTTTGTGTGACCTTATAGGATCCATACAATTGGGTTTTGGCCTATTTTACTAGCCCAATGATCGTTAGTACCTCTAGTTATGGTATAACGACGACCTAAAAGAACGAACTTAATTATCTCCATAATTTGATCCTTTATATATCTAGTAATTGCACCTGACGAATACATAAATCCTTCAATCTCCCACTTGTCTAAGACAAGTGTGCAATATTCAAATTCTTTAAGTCAATATGTGTCGATTTGATGATATGATTGCATCTTATGTCGAGATCATATTAATCTACAATTCATTTCTTGAAATCTGAGTTGGAATTACAAAACCAAATGATTACTAAGTAATACAATTGAACGCGACCACATATTTTCTGAATTCTCCCTCTTCAAGTGGTCATGACACATTTCCTAATTAAATAGGTAGACTCAATCCAATCTTGTGGCAACCAAAGCTCCCATTCAACTATTGAAGTAACCAGAAAACATCTTTTATAGTCCCCTTTTATGAAATGACGTTTGGATGCACCACAGTTAAATCAATCATTGAATGAAATCAGTGTTCCACTCATGTCAGAGGAATCCACTAATATATTTCAAAGTTCTATACTTGAACTTCAAAGTAGGTTAATAGTTCGATCATGCATCATTCATGCATATCCATGTGATTGACCGAGCATCTCTATGCCCCTATAGTCCATGAAACTGCGCTATCCAATCAATCTTACATGCCAGTCCATTTATTGAAATCATTTATGTCCAATTTAATGATTTCGAACTAGGAACTTAAATAAATTATGAATTTAGTTCACCTATGGGGTTTCATTCACCAAATCACGTGTTTGACGATCCCATCAATTCATAATTATTTTGGACATTTTATTTAATATCAAAACCATATATAATTAAATAAGAGAAATAATAAATTTCTGATTGAACATAATTCTGCAAGTTCATGTATTACTTATGTGATAAGTTTGTTCAAAACATATACAACTTAAATTACATAACTTGCTTTAATCCAAGAGCCTTAGTATGACTCCCATACTTTGGCCTTGGAAAGGATTTAGTAAGTAGGTAAGTGATATTCTCATTCATATCAAACTTTGCAGATCTTGACATCCCTCCAGCCAATGATATCTTGAATGAGGTGATACTTCATCTCAACAAGTTTGGATTTGTAATGTGACCCTAGCTCCTTTGATTGGGCAAAGGTGCCATTATTGTTACAAAACAACTTGATCCAAAATTCCTCCTTAGCTACTTCTACTGTAGCCAAATACTCATATTCTATCATGGAGTATGCGACAGTGCTCTGCTTTGAACTCTTCAAGCTCACTGTTCCTTTATTTAGACAGAAAATGTACCCAGATTGAAATCTAAAGTCATTTTTACCTGTTCGGAAACTTACATCCGTATAACCCATGACAACCAGTTCACTTTTGCCACCATAAACTAGAAACATTTCTTTAGTCCATCTTAAGTCCTTAAGGATTTGTTCTTAGCAACTTTCTAGTACACTTCTTCTGAACTTGCTTGAAAACTATTGCACGTGCTAAAGGCACATGTAACATCCAGCTTTGTACATATCATGGCATACCTAATGGACCCTATTGCAGAGCCATAAGGTACTTTAGCCATACGACGCAACTCTTTGGATTTTGAGGGCACTGAGTTTTATAGAGCGTAATACCATGAGATATGGGAAGGCATTTTCTCTTAGAGTCTTGCATCTCGAATCTATCAAGAATCTTATTAACATTAGTCTCTTAATTTAGTCAAATCATCCTTCGAGACCTCTCTCGATGGATATTAATTCCTTATATGTACTTGGCATCTCCTAACTCTTTCATAGAGAAACAACTCTTCAACCATTACTTGACTGACGATCAAGCATTGATATGTCGTTCCCTATGAGCAGTATGTCATCTACATACAAGACTAAGAAAATTAGATTGCTCCAACTAAACTTCTTGTACACACAAGATTCTTTTTCGTTCTTAAGGAAACCAAACTGTTTGACTACCTCATTGCAACGAATGTTCCAACTCCTTGATGGTTGCTTCAATCCATGAATGAATTTCTAAAGTTTGCAAAACTTGATCTTCGAAACTCTCAAGTTGTGCAATATACACATCCTCCATCAAGAACCCATTTAAGAAGGTGGTTTTGATATCTAACTACCAAATCTCGTAATAAAAAATTTCAGCAATCACTAGAAGAATCCCAATAGATTTAAGTAACCAATGGGTTTGACCCCATTTGCAAGTCTATTAGGACTAACACATCATTTTCAGCTATGGAGTCCATTCTGGATTTTATAGCCTTAAACCATTTCCTGAGTTGGTGCTCGCCAAAGCTTGCTTGTAGGCTGTGGGTTCCACAAATTTCAATTGAAATTTTTTGGAATCCTCAGTTTATCAGAATTTCAATAAACTGCTTATTTTTTATACTGAGCTATATACTACGGGGTAAGAGCAACGATAAAAGTAGAAATATTTTCTTCAACACTTTGAAGTTATTCACTCAAGTGGGACAATAAGAGTCTCGCTAGTTGAATTAGTTTTCTCCGACACATGATTTGACAAATTAGCTTACTCATGCTCCCTCGCCCTTTTGTGGTGCTATCCATATCCATTTGTTTCTCCTCTCGAATTTCTTTGAGAACCACTTTACTCCCACTTGGCTTTGTAGAAAGAGATTCCCTTTTTAAAAAGACACCATCTTGAGCAACAAACACTTTGTTATCTGCGCGATTGTAGAAGTAATACCCTTTTGTTT